TCCTGCTTTCAGAAGGAAATATTTAATAAGTCACCCACCTATGGATTTTAACCCATTCTTGCTTGCATATTGCATAGTTGATCCAGTCTAAAAGCAGCTGCTAAGGTAGCCACAAGCCCTTTGAGTGGTATTGATGTAGTATTGCCAAGCTACTGTATAATGCTAATGCACTAACTTTCCCCTCCTCTTGTCTTGTGACACAGGAGACCTCAACTACTCCCCATACACATCTAATTTTCAGATGAAGGTAAGTTCATGCCCCCTGTCACCTGTTTCACCACATGTAGGCTATTGTTCAGGCACTGAAGGAAAGGGAAGGAGAAGGGGAAAAAAGATGGACCTAGGGCAAGCTCCATGGAGGCAGGCAGGTGCTTTGCATGGAGACGAGTGATACCATGACATGTGTTCATGGAGGTGCCTGTGACTGGGGGGAAGGAGCTGTGACATGCCCAGGGACATAGGAAGGCAAGAAGTGCCCAGGGTAAATTCTGAGGTTGTGGTTTTCAATGCTTGGGGTTTTGACATCATATAAGAAGTCCTCTCTTTGAGCACAGTTTCTGTAGCAGACTGTCCTTTCCTCAGGAGATCATGCTACTTTCCCCAGCCATGCCCCAAATGCATTTCCATCAGCAGACACTGGAAGTTGCAGTGCAGATCTAGAGTGGGCAGTCTGCATGTCTCCGTGTCCATTCACCAGTCCTCTTTCAGACCACAGCCTAGACATGTCTAGTAACTCACATCATGCCATATGTCCTCTGGTGACATGTTTCCATCACTGATTTGTTCTGCCAGGATCCTCTTCTACAGCTCTATTGATAACACTCTCAGGAAACTTTCAGCTGTGTTTCTCCCTCCCCTCTTGTTTTCTTTTTAAGCTCTATTCTATTACTTCTCTCCAGTTTTCAAAGGTAAAGGCTTCCATGCTTCTTTTTCAGACCATTGAACCCCAGAATGATTTCTCCATCCCTCGTGCCAAGGCCCGGACCAGCCCATACCATGACTACACTGGTGGGAAAAATCCCATGTAGCAGCTCCACAGTGAACAAAGAGACTAAGTGCCCATCAGCAGAAGCATGGGGAATGGTGACAAGTGAGATGATCCTGCAGGAGAGAGAGTCAACCAGCAAAAGAGGAGAGAGATCCTCTTTCCCACACACATGCACACTTGTAGTCCCCTCTCATTCTTCAAACACGGCTTTCAGACACAGCTCTGTCCATCCTGTCCATGCTCACTCTCTGTCTCCATGGAATGGAGCTCAACTCTTCTGA